AGATTTTCTGAAAAATAACACTGCTTTACGTTCAAAATATTGCCTGGTGAACTTCTCAAATGCAGCAGCAATTTCATATATTGCTCTGACATTTCAACCAGTACTTATGGATTATTAACACTAACACCTCTCACCTATTCAAGACTCGTATTTTACTTTCCAAGTATTAAGTGTATCACAAATAGTTCATTCATCCTTTAAATGCAAAGGTGCAAAGAGATTTGGTTCCCTGTTCCAGGACACACTTAACTGAAGAGTCAGCATTCCAAGTGCAGAGAGATTCAGAGCTCACAACAGGACATCATTCCCAAGCTCCTGCTCTTAACATCACAGGCCATTTTAGTACCTGTTTTGCACAGCTGCCAGACCTGTGCTGAGCCTAAGAGCAAAATCCATCTCTTTTCCCCCATGAGCAGGTACCTTGATGTGCCACTCCACAGAGCAGCTTAGGCTGATGAAAGCTGCAGTTGCAGGATAAACCCTTCACTTCCCCTCTTCATGGAGTGCTCCCTCTGCTCACTCCTGTGCCAAGACTAACACCATTCAAGGACCTGGGCAAGCAGAAAAGGCAGCCAGCAGAAAATCTGCAGCCAATTCAACTACTTCAAATTAGATTACTGTAGGGGACTGACATAGGGAAAATAAAAAAGGCCTACAGAAGAAAAAATGGGATCACAGCACAGCTGACTTGATCTGCAGAGCCTGACATGGAGCTGAATCCTCTGCACCTTCTCCATGAGGATGTAGCAGGGCAAATCCGGCACTCAGACTGCTGAACTCCACTATCTCTCCCCTCCTCACCTGTTTGCCTAAGAGAACCAATAATGTTTTCCATGCATTCACTTAAATTGACAGGGTGGCTCAGCTTACAGCAGCATAGCCATGAAAGCTCTAGCAGGACTCCCAGAAAAGTATGTCATAGCAAAGACAATTTAAGTGCATCTTTTCAGAGATGGCTCACGTTTCTGGCCACAAGACCTAGCCATGTACTGCAAAACTACCTGATCTCCCTCCTCAGATCCTGCACTCAAGTGCCATTCCTCTTCCTAAGGGAAGGTATGTCATACAGCCTCTGGATGGAAGAGCATCACATGCAAAGAGGCTTTTTCAACCAACAGTTTCTGGTATCTCCAGCTCTGCAGTAGAACAGTAGAGCGTGGGCAGAGAGTAGGCTTTAAATTCTCTTGCTCCAGTTTCCTTATGGTATTTCAGCAATGTTTAGGCTGCTAAATCACACCATTTTTGGAAAACATTTGAAAGCATTAAACAGAAAACCCCAAAAAAGGAAAGTAATAATTGTCAGTGTCTTCTCAATAGACAGACCACCAGACAGCCTGCTAAAGATACCATGTACATCCCAGAGCATATATGTGATTATCCCTCTCTTCTGTAGCAGCAAGAAAATACATATAGACCTCTCAAAAAATTGAGATCCCTCAACTACAAATACTAACACTTGAAAAGAAGATGCCTTCCTTGGAGGCAAATAAAACCAGCCTAAGCTGACAACAAGATGCTGAGCACACATGGAAATGTCTTTGGCATTTCCTCCAGCAGTGGGGTTCTGCACTGAAACAAAACACCTGACAGGGTGATCATCCTCTCACTAGAATGGTGACATTCCTGAAGCAGTTGAATGAACACTGATATTCAGCAGGGACAGATCTCTCATGGTAGTATCAAAAGACCATGCTAAAAAAAGGTGAATGAACTGTTAAAAGTTCTGTGCTTATAGATAACAGCAAGGGAAAACCATCACACCAAGTATGAGCGACTGCTATGATATGTCTGCCAGCTGTCAGTCCCCTGACACTAACAGAACAGGACAGAAAAGCCCTTATCTGGGCTAAGATTTGTCCTAGACTGAAAAAGCCAAGTTATTCATGTGGGTACATTGCCAACTGCCATTGTAACCCAGCTCCCAGTTCTCTCCAGACGAGTACTCTGTCCTACAGTAATTATGCTCTTCAGAAGGATATTCCACCCACTCCTACACTGAAGAGCTGAATTAGCTACATGCACTAAATGCCAAGTTAACATTTAAAAAAGCCTCAGATCTCTCCTGTTGGTACAGCCACACGACTACAAGCTGGCTCTGCTACAAGTAAATAACTTCAAACTGTGTTTTCCTGAACAAGGCTGCTCTAATATTTTGACAAACTGATTTTTTGGTTGGTTTGTTCTCTAGCACTCGTGTACCCAGCTCTAAAAGGTCACTGTCTTTCTCCTGATGAGTTTAGTATTATTCTCCCATTCTCAAAGAAGGTCAAAATATATAATATCTGCATGTTCAGTATCTCAACACTGCACAACTCTGTGTCACCAATTTAACAGTGCAGTCCTTGGTGCAGTTATTAGGTAGCATTCAGAAATCCAGCAACAAAAACAAGCTGCTGAAAACAACTCCCTCACATTTCCCTCCAAGGACAATTTTCAGCACACCACGAGAGCACATTATGGCTTTTGTACAGAACTCTAAAGAGATAACCTTGCTGTAACGTGTTCCACAAGCAGAGACACAACGTACATGTGCAGATTAGCCATGTGAATTGCAGAGTGACATGATACTGTTCTAGCCTGATGAATTTCATTAATCATGATCTGCTAGAATTCCATCATTTCCCTGATGCACCCCACCACAAAGCCATTTCCTCCAAATTTCCATCCTCCCCCAACAACAGGCACATTTAAATAAGCACTTAAAACATTATTCTGCTCCCTCTGCCACAAATGTGTGATCTCCTCTCAAACACTCATCCTTATTTAGAAAAATAGGATAGGAATAATTTTGGGCTTAAAGGTAAAGGCAAAAAACAAATTTACTGCTTTGAAACTCATATATAAAAAACCCACAAGGTTTTGAACAAGGAAATGGAAGACTTCCTCCTTTCCCTGTCAGTCAATGCTCATCTCCTACCCTTAACCAGCAAGAGTTTATGGATCTTAAAGTGCTGCATTTATGTATTATAAAACACAATAAAACTGAAGAAGGGGGGATTTAAGTTAGGCATTAGGAAGAAATTCTTTTCTGTAGTGTGGTGAGACACTGGCCCAAGTTGCCCAGAGAAGCTGTGGCTGCCCCATCCCTGGCAGTGTTGAAGGGCAGGTTGGATGGGGCTTGGAGCAACCTGGGCTGGTGGGAGGTGACCCTGCCCATGCAGAGGGTTGGAACTGGATGACCTTCACAGAACCACAGAATTGTCATGGTCTCAGATCATCCTCCAACTCAAACCATTCTGTGATTCTGGTAAAAGCTTTTTTGGAAGCTTTTCTGACTTGCTCTCACATCTGTGCTCTCAGACCACCAGCAATGAAACATTTACAAGTGGCTTATGTTTTTCTTCACACTCAATTTAATAGAAAGCTTGGTCAAACATTTTCTCCCATGGAAAACACATTCACTCTATGTGCACACCTACACACACTTCTGGATAGAAGTTCCACCAGTTGGTTGGGAATAGCCAGTATAAGTCATTCCCATTTCTACCACTCATGAGGAATAGAATCACAGAATGGTTTGGGTTGGAAGGGACCTCAAAGATCATCCAGTTCCAACCCCCTGCATGAGAAGGGACACCTCCCACTAGACCTGGTTGCTCCAAGCCCCATCCAACCTGGCCTTGAACACTTCCAGGGATGGGGCAGCCACAATCTCCCCAAGCATTATCACAAACAGTCGCTGCTCTTTAGAATTTGGAATTACCAGCCTTGTCTTTCTTTTCATGAAGATAAAATTTTGCAGTACCTTAACTCCCAAGGCTTTGTCCTCCTGAAGCAAAATCTGCAGAACTCAAAGCTCTTAAAGTTTATCCAGACCACACAAATAACAAGATGACTGGAGGTACCTCTTGTCAAGCCCTTCCTCATGTGCTTCAGTTTCATCCTTCCCTTTAACAGGGCCATACAGCTTCAACTCTGACATTTTGGTTAAAAAAACCATCATTCATCTGACTGGACATTCCCAAACAAGTACTTGCAAGAACAATATTGAAGGTGAAAATCTATCATGGACAAAACTAACCAAAATTTCTTTGATAAAAATACTAACTCCTCTAGAAAGACAAATAAGCGGGTAAGGAGACTGTGGCTGTGTTCAAAGGCCCATACTTTACATTTATCATGTCCAAGTATCTAAATTCACCCCATGCACAAAGTTAACTGCATTTGTGTAAACAAAAAACCCCTGTGTGCAACACTGCACAGTCAAACAAACCTTTAGAGCAACAGCTAAATAGACTTGTGCCCTACAGTGAAGAACTGTATTAGAGTAGGAGACAGAACATTTTTCATGAACAGGCCAGAGGTGGAATGACCATCATAAATCAAGCCACCTCTGGTAAATAATGCCAGGCTCATTTCTTTGACCTCCTCAATCAAATACTGGGTGAGTTGTACCTCAGTGTGCTATATATAAAGGCAATTCCAAAATAAATCAACTCCAATGTGCACACATTGGCCTCACAGCAAGGATGAGAGAACAGACATGAGACAGATGACAGCTCTGCTGCTTGTGAGTCTCAGACACTAAGGTGATAGCCATGGTACCAGAATAAAGCCTAAGCAAGGTACAGCTTTAGTAAGCTACAGTTCAGAATAAGAATCAAGTAAGAACTCCCTGAAAACATGCCAGCAGCAAGTGTCTCAACTGACTAACCAAGCCATAATGACAAGAGAAGACAAGTGATTAGAGCTGTGATGCTTCCTCAGACAGGCATGACATGGTAACACAGAACCAAAATGTCACTGTTTGAAAGCTTCTGAAAAATCACTGGGTAGGCAAAACAAATCAGCTTCTTCCATACACCATAAGGAGGAATCCACAGATACTTTTTTTTTGCTGATACTTAAGCTCTCTGGAGCTGAACAGACTATGTGGTCACTTACCACAAATTAGGACAAGTTCAAGCACATCTATCTCTTGAGGATCACATGTATTCTCTGGTATTCTGGTTATAAAAGCTGTTCCAAGCTAAAAATGTGCTCACCTGAAGGGCTCTTACCTGCAAGACATCCTGGATCTTCACCCACACATCAACCATGTCATAGAGCTTGACGTCACCATCATACTGGCTGCAAGGAGATGCCACTGTTTGTTGAAGGTGTCCAAGGACAACGGAGTGCGCAGCAGCCACAGCATTGAACTTGTCAAAGAGAAGCTCTAGTAGCTCCAGGAGTAATCTGCAAACCATCAAGACAACCAGCACTCAATTTCCAAAAGACACCATAGGTAGACAATCATAAAAGCACAGAGCAGTGGACCAGGAGTCAGAAGATTGACTTCAAATCCTGTTCTGTGACAAAAGCTGGGTGCAAGCTGGGAGGTCACCTAGCTTCAAACCCTCTGAGCTTCAGGTGGCTAACTTCAGCTGGCAGCAGCTCAGGTTTGGTGCCTGAATACTTGAAGATCTTCCTTCTCACTCCCTCCACTACATCAGAGTTGCTCATTTTTAGTATGTTCTACTTGGGGGTACAGGAAAGACAAATGTATCAGCAACTACACTTCAGTACCATGATATTAGAGACCATTTTCAGTTCCTAGATAGAGCTGCAGACAGGGAGGGAGACTACCTGCTTTTCCACCCAGAAGAAAATACACTGCAAGTAGCTAAAAATGAACTTACCCATACAAACAGAACGCAAGATAGTAACTTTTAATTATGAAATAAGTACTATGGAAGGTTTTAAACAGCAAGAGATCAGGAACCTAAAACATCAAGGCTCATCAACTGTCTCAGTCATCAAGATTTTACTACTACATGGAAGGTGCTACAGCTATAACTACATTTTAAGTGTCCTAACTTTACCTCTCCCTGTGGCTTCCTGACTGCCCAATTACTGTGATTAATGTACCTTTGCAAAGTCCTGGATATTTTGTGATAAGGAATGACTCATCATCTTATTATTTCAGAAAAAATCTGATGAATTTCACTGCCATTTAATGAGCAACTCAAGTACACATGTAACCCCAACAAAATGTGAAGATAACACTTCCTAAATCCATATGTCAGATACTTCTAGCTCTGACAGACAGGCTCCATCACATTTCACTGCTGCAGCTAAAGAGTTACCATATGCTTGCTATGTTTTCCCACCAGAAATTTCTATCTCCAGAGCTGGACAGAAGATCTGCAGCAGAAACAGAGTTGCACCCAATCCTGAACCACCACACTTCTGTGTTAGTTCATCACTAACAAGGTGTGTGTTCATGCCTTGGCCACTTCATTTCAGTACTGAATATCTCCACTTTCATTAGCTGGAAAGTTAACTGGAGTAATTTGGAAGCTGTAACACATTGGCTGTTACCACCAGACAGTAAAAGTGGCCTGGCATTTCTCTGTAGCTAAAGCCACCTACATTAGCCTATGGCAAGCCTAGACTGGACCTCTAGTTGGCAAAGGAGAGAAGGTGGCTACTGTTTAAAAAAATAGTATCAGCTTTGGGTCATTAATACACCAGAATTTTTCATTCACAGCAAGCTCTCAGGGATGTCACACATACCATTCACCCACCAATGATGTCAACTGCACAGTTCAAATAGAACAACACCTCAATCCAATGGAAAGAGCCACTGGTTAGGGACCTGGGGGTGGTAAAAGATGAGAAGCTGGACTTGAGCCACCAGTGTGTGCTGGAGCCCAGAGGGACAATTGTGTCTTGGGCTGCATCAGAAGAAGTATGGCCAGCAGGGCCAGGGAAGTGATTCTGCCCTTCTACTGTGGTAAGACACCACATGTCCAGCTCTGGAGCCCTCAGCACAGGACAGACATGGAGCTGTTGGAAAAAAATCCAGAAAAAGGCCATGAAGATGATCAAAGAATGATCAAAGAGCTGGAGCATCTCTGCTCTGGAGACAGGCTGGGAGAGTTGGGGTGTTCAGCCTGGAGAAGAGAAGGCTCCAGGAAGAACTCATTACCATCCTTCCAGCAACTGAAGGGGCTCCAGGAAAACTGGGGAGGGGCTTCTCAGCAGAGAGGGCAGGGATAGGACAAGGAGGAATGGTTTTAAACTGAAAGAGGGGAGATTTAGGTCAGACATCAGGAAGAAATTCTTCACCATGAGCGTAGCAAGGCGCTGGAACAGGTTGTCCAGGGAGGTTGTGGCTGCCCCATCCCTGGAGGTGTTCAAGAGCAGGTTGGATGAGATTTGTACAGCCTGGTCTGGTGGGAGGTGTCCCTGCTCATGGCAGGGGGATTGGAACCTGATGATGTTGAAGGTTCCTTCTAACCTCCACCACTCTATGATTCCATGAATTGACATCATAATACGCTGGGAAGCACCAAAACCTCAACAGAATCACTAAGCAAAAGTGAAAGAACAAGAACAGAATGTTCACAAGCTTGAAGGTACATAAACATATTTGGAGTTTTTCTGCTTTCCACAGCCATAAGCATGAGGTGGTTGATATCCTCCTCCCAGAGGCGTTTAAGGCCAGGTTGGATGAGGCTTGTGCAGCCTGCTCTGGGGAGAAGTGTCCCTGCTCATAGCAGGGAGGTTGGATCCTGATGATCCATAAGGTCCCTTCCAACCTTCACCATTCCATGTTTCTTTGATCCTAAAACTAGGAGGGTACAGTCAGGCGTGGCAGAAAAGGTCAAGTGGCCAGATGTCCATCATAGTAAAAATGTGTTCAGGAGTGATGGCATTCTTAAGAGCCATGGGGACACTAACATTGCCACACTTGATGTAACTATTGAACTATGACATTAAAGCAAGCCAAAAGAAACTGGTAAGTATATCAGTTGTCTTCCTATTTAAGAACACCAACAAATGTCTGAAGAAAAGCACTGCTGGTACTATGAAGGAAAACAGGTGCAGAAATTTAAGGCCCTGGAAGGGGATAAACAGAAGTATACAGGACATGAGGGTAAAGACAGCTCCAGAAAAGACAGCTATTATAAACATTAGCAGTATTTTCAATATGGGAAAGTCCAGTGTGGAAGAAAAGCCATGTTCCTCCCTTGGTAGGAGCCCAGTGCTCCTCACATGAGAGAGGCAACTGTTGCTTCATCATCCCCTAAGAGATACACAGAACTTCTCATTGCAAGTGACAGAGGGGCAGCTGGGACAAGTGGCTGGTCAACCAGAAGCCAGACAAAAATAGGAGGGAAAACAGATGTAGAAGAACTTGTATTAATGAGCAATTTTATGTTGGAAGAACCAACATAAGGAGGCCGAGAGAGGCAAGATTACGGGAGCAAATCAACTACAGACAGTGAGAAAATTTATCAGTGCAAACTCAAATTCCACTTATGTCCCATTACAAATGAAAATGCAGTTATCTATATATCTCCTTGTTGCATCAGGAAAGCACAATTTGGCAGAACCAAACTAGCTGGATAGTCTGACAAATTCATTTTAATTGTCCTTAGCTGAGCCTGACATCACATTATCAGCTTGTTTATAGAGCCATTACTAAAACAATATTATGCTGAAAATAATTTTTTTGTTTTATATTCCAGAGTCTTCCCATCCTTATGTTACAGACCAATAGACACAAAATCTGCCCCATCCATATTCTTCAGTGGTGCCAACTGCCACCCCATTACATTGTCCATCCTCAACCACATCATATTCCCATATCTCCCTGTTTTCAAATTAGCCTGCATCTCTTAACTTTCTTTTCTCTAAGAGTCTTCTAAATCTGTCAGGTCATTTTTGAACCAAGGTGACCCAAAAGAGACAGACACAGTCTGTGTCAGGCAGCCAACAAGACAAAACAGCATAAAATAATATGGCCTAGATATTATGCATATGGGGTTACAGCACTGAGCGACCTACCCAGAACACATACAGAGGGTGACAAGAGCCTAGTTCAGGCAATTTGTCAAAGCCATCTCATAACCCCTTCATGGAGAAATGTGGTAAATACATTGAGAGACAGTGACACACCCGGAAGCAACTCCTCTTGTCTGGGCAGTAAGGAAGAATGAATTGATGCAGAGTGACTGCTGACACCTGAATGAGGTCACTAATAACAATTCTTGCATGTTAGCAGCAATCATGTCCTTTGTCTGGTCAGACTGTTGGTGTATATATAAAACAGAAGTGTATTATGAACACATAGGGTAAAGTACATTGAATCCAATCAATGCATTTAATACCAAATTATCAGTACACCTCCTCTTCCTGGGCCAGAATTTCAACTAAGAGTAAAGCTATGGCAATGTATTCCTGATAAAATCTCGTCCCATAAACCTGGCCCTCAAGTAGACAGACATCCAGATTATTCTTCTAAATTTAAGAACCTTCCACAATTCAAAAGGGACCCACAGGTTCATTAAGACACAGCAGTACTCCAAACTAATCAACACAGCCTCTTCTACAATACCTTGTACTCTTCACACCAAGATACATAGAATCATGCAATGATTTGGGTGGGAAGGGAATCATCCTAAGTGCTCACAAACTACCATTAAAAACATGCCAGAACCCATTCAACTTTTTTGCACTTTA